GAATTTTGAGCAGCGTGATGTCATCATCTTACGGTCATTAATCTAGACAAACTATAGCAGTAGAAAATAATTTGGCTCTTCAGGTCAGTCTAGCCACGCCCCATTGTAGCCTCAGGTCTACCATTGGCCTGAACAATTTTAGGTCAAGCTAATCACAGCGCTCTATGTTCGTATAGAGACCTTGTACAGGTTTAGCACCAGAGCTGTGACAGAGAAAACTAGAAAGATGGAGTCAGCTCAGGAACAGTGCTTGTTTGAAACGACTTTGTGTTGCAGCTTTAAGGCAAGGATGACTACCGGAGTTGCTTTCTCACTTCATCCGTTTTATTTCGACGTCAAATCACTGAAAACGTTGGTTACGTATTGTAACCCCAGATTCTATGAGTCTAGTCGCAGTCCTTAAGCTAGCTGCTATTGGAAGGATGATCTCAGCATCAGCCAATCATGAAGAGCTTAAATGTACGCCCACCAATGGTGGGCACCCCTGTGGGTATATAAGTGGAGCGACTCCACTGTTTTCCTCCGATGGCTCTTAGTCCTAACAGAACCAGTGGGGCCATTTGCTTAAGGGCTGCGACTAGACTCATAGAATCTGGGGTTACAATACGTAACCAACGTTCTATTTCGTCTAGTCTTAGCCCTTAAGCTAGCTGCTATTGGAATAATGCGCAGCTGGATGGGTTTACGCCACACTGGTTAGCTCAACCAATGGACACACCCAACATGTCTCCTTTTAGTGAGGGTCGCTCAGCCTCACTCCAGGGCTTAAAAGGCTGAGGCAGCCAGAGAGAAGAGTGGGGCCCCCACTAAAAATATCATCCACAAGAGGATGAAATTCATTCAAGTAGGGCTGATGTGGTGCCATAATGCTTTCACTCAGCCTGCTGAGGTCCAAGCACTGAACGAGTGATGGATCCTGAAGACACATCTCGTACATAATAACGAGTAAAGGAACAGGGTGAAGCCCATGAAGCAGCCTGACAAATGTCTTCCATTGACACGCCAATGTGGAGCGCCATAGAAGAGGAAATCCCTCTGGCTGAGTGAGCCCTGAGTGTCTCAGGAGGATCCCACCCTGATGATGTGTAAGCGAGTGAAATGCCATCACACAGCCAGTGTGAAAGACGCTGGGTCGACAGCGCTTGCCCAAGGGAAGGCTCTCTGTAGTACACAAACAGGCTTTGTGAGCGGCGAATCCCTGAAGTGCGTGACACATATCGTGCGAGCGCACGCACCGGGCAGAGAAGGTGGGAAGCCGCCTCCTCATCAGAATTATGGGGAGGAGGAAAAAGTCCAGCCAATGATATTGACCTGGATTTGAAGGAAGTATTAATGTTTTGGGGCACAAAGGCTGGGTAGGGGCATAAAACAGCGGACCCGCCATCTTCCCGGATCCTGAGGCATGCGGGAGCCACTGAGAGGGCGGTTAGGTCACTCACTCTCTTGACTGATGCTAGCGCCAGCAGCAAGGCAGTTTTGAGTGACAGGAACTTGAGTGAGACCTGGTCCAAGGGTTCAAATGGGGCTTCAGATAAGCCGCGCAGAACCACCGTTAGGTCCCACTGGGGAAATAGCAGGCGGGACACAGGTCTGTTCCTTCTGACACCTTTTAGAAAACATTTTGTGAGGGGATGATTGAAAACAGATCTATCTCCAAAACCCCGGTGACAGGATGAGATAGCTTCAGCATATGTTTTAATAGTGCTAAATGCGAGGCCCCTGTCCATCAGCATCTGCAGAAACGATAGGACATCCGCCAGCTGGCAGGAGAGCGCTTGAACATTCCGCTCTGTGCACCATTTCTGGAAAGCTGCCCATTTAGCAGCATAAGATGAGGTGACGGTAGAAGGCGCCCACGCACTCTGAATCGTGGCGACCACATCATGCGGCAGCCCAGAAGCCTCTAAGCGTGACCGCTCAGCGGCCAGACCCACAGCCGTTGGCCTTTTTCTGGAGGATGTTTGATTATCCTATCCGCCTGGAGAAGGGCCTTCGCCCTCCACGGGAGCCTCCACGGGGAGCCGGACACTAGCGCTTGCAGGTCTGGAAACCATGACGCGGACAAGCGTCTGGGAGCTACCAGAATTACTGAGAGCTGTTCCGACCGAACTCGGTCCAGGAGACGGGGAATCAGTGGGACTGGCGGAAACGCATACAGGAGCGTCTGAGGCCAGGGCTGGTGTGAGAAGGCGTCCGCTCTGAGTGGGGGGTGGTCCCGGGGACTCAGGAAAAACCGCAGGCGACACTGAGCGTTTTCGTGAGCCGCGAACAGATCCACAGAGGGTTCCCCGAACTTGATCCAGATCTGTGATATCAGTGCGGGATGCAGACGCCAGTCGGAGTTGCGGGGTCCCCCTCTCGACAGGATGTCTGCTGCCACATTCAGGACCCCCGGAATGTAGGTGGCTTTGATGGACAGCAGGTGGGCATGTGCCCAACACAATAAATCTGTGGCTACGCGCAATAGTGGGAGGGATCGAACTCCCCCTTGGCGATTTACGTAAGCTGCCGCCACCTGAGTGTCTGTGTGAACTTCGACATGACGGCCCTCGAGAAGGGCAGCGAAGTGCCTGATCACATTCCTCACTGTCATAAGCCCCAACACATTTATGTGCTCGTGCGTGTGGGAGGGCCAGCGATCTGCCACCGTATGGGACAAGCACGTACCCCCCCCATCCCAACAGTGACACAGCCGTAAACACAGATACGTGTGACGTAGGACGTCCGATGGGGACCCCGTGTGAGAGGATGCAGGGATTCCCCCAGTGAGCGAGGTCCCCGCCCACTGAAGGGGGAACCCTCAACATACGTCTCTTCTGACGTGTCGGGTGCACCCGGAGGCAGATGAACCAACACTGTAGGCGTCTTGTGTGCAGTAAACCTAGCAGTACCACAGCGTGGGCTGCAGCCATCATGCCCAGAAGTTTCATGACTAACAGGGCTCTCACGATCTTGCGGGGTTGCACACGGGAGATCACCATGGTGAGATCTGTTGCTCTCGCCGGAGACAAACGTGCTCTCATTAGGGAGGCGTTCAGCTCCACCCCGAGAAACCCAATCGACTGGTATGGAAGGATGGAGCTCTTTTCCCAGTTTATGGAAAACCCCAGGGTTGACAGATGCTCTATTAACTTCCTGGTTTGCTTTGACGCCTCGTCCTTGGACCGGGCGCATATGAGCAGATCGCCCAGGTAAAATAAAACCCGCCATGCGCAATGGCTGCAGAGCGGTCTCCAGACATTTGGAGAAGGTGCGTGGGGCTAGTAGCCGAAAGGGAGACGATTGAACTGGTATTGAACTCCCTTGAAAGAAAAGCGCAGGAACTTCCGGTGTTTGGGAATTACTGGGATGTGAAAGTATGCGTCTTTCAGGTCTATTGACGTGAACCAGTCTCCGGAGTGCACGTATTCTAGGACTTGCCTCATTGTTAACATGCGGAAATGCATCACTGCTATGGAGCAGTTGAACAGGGAAAGGTTGAGAATTGGTCTCATTCCTCCCGACTTCTTCGGTACTACGAAATGGGCGCATATGTGGAAATTGGCGCCTTGAGCTTAGCAGGTTCAGAGAAGGAGGCGGACCAGCAGCTCATGGCATCGGGGAAGCGCGGCCAGATGGGGTCTGGACAGCGTGTCTGGCGTCGCTGGACATGGTAGGTGAGTAGAATGCTTCTTGGATAATTGCTCTTTAAAGGAAGCTCTTAAGCTTGGCTTGAAGAGATAACAGAGGCGAACAGTGGAGTCACTCCACTTATATACCCACAGGGGTGTCCACCATTGGTGGGCGTACATTTAAGCTCTTCATGATTGGCTGATGCTGAGATCATCCATTCAATAGCAGCTAGCTTAAGAGCTAAGACTAGACGAAATAGATCTTACAGCAGCTCCTCTCCTGCTCCTTGCCTTGTACTACGGGGTAAACCGACTCCAGAGACGTTCAAGGAACGTCCGTCAAAGCAAACACATCAACGGGGTGTTCAATGCCATCTTGTGACTATGACTTCTCTTGCAAATTAACAGTTCAAATGAAAAATAGACAGAATATACAAACAGCATAAAGAAGTGTGGGATATCTTTGAACCAATGAACAATTCATAACAGTTTATTCTTTTTAACATTACCCAACCCCATCCATATTTGTGTCTCTCACATTTGGCATCAACTTTAGACGATGTAGACTTGGGCTTTTCATTGAGACATGAGCAGCCTCAGTCATTGCCTAAAAAAAGGATGTATTTACTTTGTCTTCTTCTTCAGCGGTGTATGTCGGACTGCGCTGTTGACAGATTTCTGAAGCAATTAATACATAATATTAGGGATGTAAGAAAATATCAACATGGAAATATTTTGTGATTTTTTCCTGCGATATTATATGGATATTCAAAAGCCGTGAATCGAATTTTTTGAAGATTTTACATGCAAACATTTGAGTATGTTCTATTTTTTATTTTTTTTGTGCAATTCAAACACAGACTGCTAGTTGGCAGCAGTGTGCAATGGGTTTTGTTTCCACCATTGAAATGTAAATCCCTGTCATGGTCCAGATACCTCATATTATACATGTTATGTATCAGTTTGGACTGTTTATTGAATTTTCCTATAATAAATTCAGTGTAAAAAAATTGCTAATATCATCTGGCTGAATGTATCGCAATACATCATATCGTCTCCCCTGTATCGTGAAACGTATCGTATCACCAGAATTTCACCAACATGCATCCCAACATCACATGGTCTGTTGCTCTGATTGCTCCTAGCATTGTCCAATTGCATGTAGAGAAAGTTTGAAAGACAACTGTAGATTTCACCCCATGACTGAGCTCTCGCTATGGGTCGTGGCCAGACTACTGTACATATATATTGCTTGCCAGGCTAACCATCTTGCTTTCGGTGGCAATCATAGCTCCCACATATTTTCCAAATGGTCATCTTGGGATGAACATCCTTCCCAGCATTGAATTTTTTTACTCATGAGGGAATAAAATAAAATGTGTACATAAGTTCACACTCTATCATTGAATTTATTTCTTTAATCAGTATTGTGGGTCTTGCTGGTCTGAGTAACACTGGAGGGGTAACATCGATACAGTAGACAGCACAGACAGAGCATTACTATACAGTTAAAGGTCTCAGTGTCACCATGTATCTATTTTGCATTCATAGAGAACCCTCGCAGAGAATAATATAGTACAATAACATCAATATCTCATAAGTTAAAATCATACAAAACACATTTTTAGGACTCAGATAGTCACACAAAAAATTCAAGACCCAAAATATTTAAATCATATTGTTGCTTTGACTTTGGGTGCTGAATTTCATTTAGTGGTCCATTCATGTAGCCAGTATGACTAAACAGCACATTCCTTGAAACAGTATAAAGTCCAGATTTGGCTTCTTTCCAAGTATTTACACAGTGGGACAATAACATTTAACAACAGTTTCCTTTGTGACTGTCATTTCCCACCAGTTCAAAGGTCAATCACTGACTTGGTGGATACTTTGGCCTTCAGCAGCGATACACTGCTCCAAAAAGAATCTCCGCGGGCAAAAAGTCTGGATCCATGAGAGTTTCAGGAACCCAACAGAGGATTCTGTTTCTGGGCATTAAACCAAGTGCTAAGTGGCAGCAAATTAAACAACCACCATCCTTGACACCTCAAAGGAAGAGCTCCATGTTTTAGGAATGTTCTTCTGTGTCTTGCCATGATTTAGATGAGTTAACACAACAGGATTATCTTTACCTCTACAGTCAAAATACTTTCTAAATTTGCCAGTTTCACCTGCTAACCATCACACTTCAGTTGTTGTCAAAAACAGGTATCTGGGTGATCACACAGCTTCGGTTTTTATAGAACTTATGATTATGTAAACAAGTCTAACAACCAGCCGTGCTGATTAACTTCTAAATAATTTCAACTGCAAATCTCTTCAAGTCCTTATGAAGTTCATAACGTTACAACACCATCGCACAGGAAAAGGTCAAACTTATCTCAGGCAAACAAAAAGCTCTAGGGAGGTTCACTAAATCTGTTATCAATCAAAAATGGGAATGCAGAAAAGGTGAGCGTAAATGAAGAAAAAGTAACCTACCAGATCATTATGAGACATTTACAGTGCAGCTTCGCAATTACAACTCTGAATTAAATAAGGCGAGATAAGCCTTTTTCTCCAAAGTGGTACATTTAACAATTCCCATGTTCTGTTTGCTATACTGTCCAGAGGCCAGCTAATCTCCTCACACAGTTAAATCCTGATTTCATATTCCAAACTAAGTGTAATGAGTTTGCATCTGTTTTCAACCAACACAACAAGACCACAGCTACAGCATCACAGCAACAATCTGGCTAGAATGACAGCTCTCAGTGTGATTAGAGCCAAAACGCTGGAGGACACAGTAAATACCTTAAAATTATCTACCTGCTGTCTGGACAACCTGCCAACTAATTTCTTTAAACATTGTTTTTAGCTGCTTGAAAGCTGATGTACTGAAACTTGTAAATTGTTCCATGTTGTTTTATAAATCCTTGAACATTGATGCTGTTAAGCCTCTTCTAAAGAAAAGGAAATTAGATCCCTTAGTGATGATACTACAGACAATCTCTAGTCTCCCTTTCATTGGGAAAATAATTGAGAAAGCAGTTATGATCCCGCTGAACAACTTTTGGAGACAAACAACCTGCTAGATAGTTTCCAGTCAGGCTGTAGGCAACACCACAGCACTGAGACTGCACTGATTAAGGTATTAAATGATATTCAGCTCAGTACTGTTTCAGGCAAAACATCTGTTCTGATGATGCGCGATCTCAGTGCAGCTTTTGATACTGTGAACCACAACATCCTTCTTGATAGGCTCAAAAACTGGGTGGGACTTTCAGGCACAGTCCATAGTTGGTTCCCATCACATCTCAAAGACAGGGAGGGGTTATGTTGTCTCTATTGGTGATTACAAATCAAAGCTGATCACCATGACATGTGGGGTCCCTCAAGGCTCAATTCTTGAACCACTGCTCTTCAGTCTCTAAATGCTCCCCCTGGGTCAGGTCATACCAACATCGCCTATAATAGTTATGCTGATGACGCCCAGATCTACCGAGCACATAACTCCTGTTCTTAAACCTCTACACTGATTACCATTAAACTACAGAATCAATTTCAAAGTGCTTCTACTAGTTTATAAATCACCCAATTACATGGGACCAAAACACATGTTGGATCTCCTTGCAGTATATACACCCATTAGGGCTCTGAGATACTTAGGAAACAGCTTGTATAATGCCGGGTCAGAACCAAACACAGTTAAGCTGCTTACTGTGCTGCACTAAGAAGGAATCAGCTTCCTCATTACCTCAAATGTGCCCCAACTCCAGTAACTTTTAAATCAGAATGGAAAATGTTCATGTATTCGTTAGCCTTTCAATTAATGTTTCTGGTACTGCACCTTCTGCACTGTAACTGATCAGTCTTTAACTTTCTCCTTTTATTTTATTTCTTACTTCTAATTTTACGTGTGTACTTTTAAATGTGATTTAAGTTGCTTTATTTTGTCACGCTAATTTTAATGTTTTGTGTTCTTGCATCTGGAGAACACATTGAATTTTTTCTGTGTATGAAATGAGCTTAAGAAATAAAGCTGCCTTGCCAAAACATTTTGGGACACTTTAAGTGGTTGGTGAATATCAGAGACTAAAAAAAGTGATTTTAAAAATAAAGTAAGAAAACAGAACTTCAAAATTACAAGCTGAACTCCCATTTCATTGAATTTGGTTGGGTCGACTCTCCCACTCAGAGGATAATATAACGCTGCTGTTGACCAGTATTTCTTCAGTGAAGACGTCTAGTCTCTCTTGTCCACTTTTGTGTCCTAAGCCAGGAGATCGCTTCTCTTGCTGCACCAGACCACCAGTGCAATCATGGCCAAAGTAAGGAAAACAGGAATGAGGATGAGTATGGTGAGCGTGTCATCCGGCGGATCGACCCATATTACATGCTCCATGGTGCAGTTGGAGAAAAAGTGCTTGTGTATGCGGATGATGTAGCTCTCTACCAGCGGATTGGGCCAGTAGCAGTTGACAATGTGGGACTTTGTCTCAGTGCAGTGGGTGAAGAGGTGGTACTCGCTGGGGAGAACAACACAGGAAAGGAAGATCAGACAAAAATATCAAAACAAGACACACACACACAGCTGAACTAATGCTGTTCTTGGATATGTTGTGTCTTACAGTTCTCCGACAGAAGCACAAGCATTCAAACCCAACTTTGTTTGGCCCGAATTAACCCAAGCCTCTGAGATTTGGTGAATAATCTGTCACTGTCACCAAGAGTATACTGTTATTTCCTCCATTTTTCAGCTAACTACTCTCTTTTTCTGCCGTATGTGGAACTGCCCTGGAGCTTTTCAAACTCAGAGCTCAGTTTTGACAAATGCATTCAGTGAGTCTTAATCCCTTTTTTTTACCATCCAGAAGTCTTTATCCTCAAACACCAGCTTTTTATTCCCCTCATGACATTCAGAGGCTTTTGTTTCTTACCTGAACAGTGAACTCAGTAAAAGAACGCATTTAAACACAGATTTGATGCCTTTACAGCCGTGAGATGTCGTCAGTGTTCCCACAAACCCAGATTTTGTTCCTAGTTTTAGGATGGTTAAAATGGTGAAAGATGGGCAGATGAAATGCAAAATTAGCTTACTCTAATAAAAATGGGCATTGCAGCACATGGTCATCCTCAGCCCTCAGTTGTTGGTTCTAAATCAGCTGAACATTTGAGCTACTTGAGAACCAATCTCTATGCAAACATTACCAAATTGGTATATTTCAGTAAATACAGATGTCACAAAGTAGAAAAGTTTGGATTTAGTTTAAGTTGTATGATTTATGTTTTATTGTTGACATGCTTATTTTGTGTTTTGAATGGTTTTTCCCCTTTGTGGTACCTCCCAGAGACACTAATTAGAACAAATGGGAACAGGTGTGGAATGCCCACAGGTACAATGGAGGAAAGAGTCCAGGCGAGCAGCAGACACCAGACACATGCATGAGGTCTGAGAGCAAGAGACGCGCCCTGGACGGTCTGGCAAGGACACGAACGCTCGACCACCCTGGAGTGCAGATCGGCACCTGGAGCACCATCCCAGGATGTGGACACGCAACCAAGTGTGGAGGATTGTTGGTTTGGGCGCTCTCAGCTGCTCACCTGCTCACCTGCCATCAGCCATCCCTACTCCTGCTCCTCTGGATAAATCATTCACTCATCTCCTGGATCTCCTCAGCTCCCCCGGACCTGACCTACCCCTTCCTGTACTTTTCACCACTACCAAGAAACAGTAAGCCCAGCCTCCAGGTAATTCTCCATTGCTTCCACCTTATATTCACTCTATCTCCCTCCTCAGAATCCCCTCCTGGTATCCTGCTGCCAGTCCTGCACTTCGTCGGTTCCCGTCTCGCCTTTTGCTCCTCACCTAATAATAAAACCCTTTTACTTACTTACCTGTTCTCATTGTTGTGATTCTGTGTGTTGTGGGTCAAGAAATTGCCAACCCATCATGACAGTTTTTAGGACTGCTTTTATGTATTTTTTTTACTCCTTCAGCCTCTAAAGACTTGAACTTTTAGTGTTGTTTTTGCTCCACCAAATAAATGATGTTTTAGTGTTTTAGTGTTAAGTGGTTCCCCTGCCTGTTTTTTGGACCATGAGTCACTTGTTTTCCCCCTTGTATCCAGAACCTGCAGCCGTGGACGGGCTGCTGCGGGGTGACATATACACACACATAACTATAGTTTATCAAGCACCTTTCACTGTAGTTCATGGTTCACTGGCCCTGTGGATGCTGTCTTCCTAGTATTTAAGATTAGATGAGAGGTAAACCCTGGACAAGGCTGGATAATGTAGAAAGCCAACTATCATCAGCATAAAAATGGTAGAAAGTGTCAGGGAAAGACTGAGAAGAATGTTGGCTAATGGGGAGGCGTAAAACTAAAATAATGACCCAAGACTAAACCTTAGGGAAACCCAGTTTAGCAAGTCAGTTTCATTGAGACAAGTTGTTCATCTAGACTGAAAATGTCTGACCTCAAAGAGAAGCAGTCCAGAGTAGAATCAGTAACACCAGCATTAACCTTAAAAGGATTTAATGATCATCTATCTCCAGGACCGCGCAAACATCCAAAACAGCAAAGCAGAAATAGTATAAACCAAACAGCAAGGCTTGTGCTCCAAAACTAATATACAATGAACAACAGAATTATGGTTAAACATTCAAATAAAACAACATTACAATAAACTATCAATAAAAGAGGTAAGTGACTAGTGGTGTGTTGGGATTAAGGAAAAGACAGCCAAACTAAAACTAAGGAGACTGAAGGTGAGTTGTAACCAGTTTAGGGAGGGTGTAGGTGGCCACACACTAAAGTACTGAAAATGTGTCTCATCTGAATCCTGAATAGTAAACAAGTTGTCTCCTGTGATTTTTTTATGATTATGATTTTCTTCAGAATTGAGATCACTGAGTGATTTTAAGGACGTTTTTGCTCTCAGTGCTAGCTGATGTCCATTCACTTACTGTTTTTTTTATGTTAAGCTAAAGCTAAAGAAGCACAGCCAGGTAAGGAGAATTACTGGGTTAAAATTATTTTTTACCATTTATCTCACTTTAGGGAAATATAATTTTGGGTGGAAAATCCCTTTAAGGAAAGAAAATCATAAATTGACTAATACTCCGTTCCATCCATCCATTTTTATCCGCTTATCCGGAGTCAGGTCTCGGGGGCAGTAGCCTAAGGCGATAGGCCAAGACGTCCCTCTCCCCAGCCACATGGGCCAGCTCCTCTGGGGGAATCCCAAGGCGTTCCCTGGCCAGGTGAGAGACATAGTCCCTCCACCGTGTCCTGGGTCTCCCTTTAGGCCTCCTCCCAGTTGGACGTGCCCGGAAAACCTCACCAGGGAGGCGTCCAGGAGGCATCCTGACTAGATGCCCGAGCCACCTCAACTGGCTCCTCTCGATGTGGAGGGGCAGCGGTTCTACTCCGAGCCCCTCCCGAATGACCGAGCTTCTCACCCTATCTCTAAGGGAGAGCCCAGCCACTCTTCAGAGAAAACTCATTTCGGCCGCTTGTATCCGCAATCTCGTTCTTTCGGTCACTACCCAAAGCTCATGACCATAGGTGAGGGTAGGAATGTAGATCGACCTGTAAATCGAGAGCTTCGCCTTCTGACTCAGCTCTCTCTTCACCACGACAGACCGGTACAACGCCCGCATCACTGCAGATGCAGCACCAATCCGCCTATTGATCTCACGCTCCAGTTTTCCCTCACTCGTGAACAAGACCCCGAGATACTTAAACTCCTCCACTTGGGGCAGGACCTCATCCTTGAACCTGAGAAGGCATTCTACCCTTTTCCGAATGAAGACCATGGTCTCAGATTTAGAGGAGCTGATTCTCATCCCAGCTGCTTCACACTCGGCTGTGAACCACTCCAGCGAAAGCTGAAGATCACATTCTGATGAAGCCAACAGGACCACATCATCTGCAAAAAGCAGAGACCTCATCCTCAGGGACCAAAACAGATGCCTTCCACACCTTGGCTGCGACTAGAAATCCTGTCCATAAAGGTTATGAACAGAATTGGTGGCAAAGGGCAGCCTTGGCGGAGTCCAACTCTCACTGGGAACGAGCCCGACTTACTGCCGGCAATGCGGACCAAGCTCTGACACCGGTCATTCAGGGACCTAACAGCCCGTATCAGAGGGCCTGGTACCCCATACTCCCGGAGTACCCCCCACAGGGCCCCCCGAGGGACGCGGTCAAACACCTTCTCCAAATCCACAAAACACATGTAGACTTGTTGGGCAAATTCCCACGCACCCTACAGGATCCCCCTAAGAGTCTAGAGCTGGTCCAGTGTTCCACGGCCAGGACGAAAACCACATTGCTCCTGAATCTGAGGTTCAACAATCCGACAGACCCTTCTCTCCAGAACCCCTGAATAGACCTTACCAGGAAGGCTCAGGAGTGTGATCCCCCTGTAGTTGGAACACACCCTGCGGTCCCCCTTTTTAAATAAGGGGACCACCACCCCGGTCTGCCAGTCCAGTGGGACTGCCCCCGATGTCCATGCGATATTGCAGAGCCGCGTCAGCCAACACAGCCCCACAACATCCAGAGCCTTAAGGAACTCCAGGCGGATCTCATCCACCCCTGTAGCCTTGCCACAGAGGAGCTTTTTAACCACCTCAGTGACCTCAGCACCAGAGATGTGAGAGGCCAACCCAACGTCCCCAGACTCTGCTTCCTCGCTGGAAGACGTGTCGGTGGGATTGAGGTGGTCTTCGAAGTATTCTGCCCACCGATCCACAACGTCCTGAGTAGAGGACAGCAGCACACCGTCCCCACTATAGATAGTGTTGGTGGTGGTGGTGGGGGGGGCACTGCACTGCTCTGTAATCTGGATTATGTATTTTCTTCTAGATTAAGCTTTTGATGTTGACGAGCTTGATGCATCCCCATGAGGTAGTCATGATTAGGAGGACCTGCACACGTCATTTGGAATTCTAGGATGTCCAAGGAAGATCCCGCCTTTCTCGTCTGTGATTGGCTAGAAAGGCTCTACCACGATTGGATATTTCATTTAACAGCAAATTGGCTGTCCTCGCTAAGTGCTGACTGTGTCCTTCTGCCTCCAGCAGAAAGCTGTTTTGGGGAGTTTAGTAAAGAAAATGTGAACTTAGCACTATAATAAACATTCTGTCCTGGTTTGCACAATATTTTATGTTTTATGTTTCATAAAATAACTGAAAAATGTAAAATGTGAATTTTAAATCTTGTTGCATTTATCAAACTGTTGGACTTACTTTTTATCTCTTGGCTCTAAAGCATTAGATTACATAGGATACACATATGTGCCTTACCTGGGTATGACATTTAATAAAACTGCCCTATTCTGCCAAGCTGTGTAGATCAGGTCTGTTTCTTCTCTAGAATGATGAAAATTGGTGAAAAACAGGTCTAGGATAGCCTAATAATGAAGAAATAAGATAACGCCAATAGAGCCAACAGATATAAAGTCAGTCTACAAAGTGAAAAAATGCAACAAGATTTATTACAAGTTCACATTTGATGTT